GGTGGGGGAGGTGGGGGAGGTCGCGGCGTAGACTGAGGTGGTCGGTAGGACGCTCCAAGGTTCTGGTTGAACGTCTGCTGAGGGGGGCTGTAAGTGTAGCCGGGAGTAGGTTTGGGAGTTGTAGGCGCCGGCGGTGGGCGCGGCGGCGCGGTGGAGGGACTGTACGACGCACCGAGGTTCTGGTTGAACGTCTGCTGAGGGGGGCTGTAACTGTAGCCAGGTGTAGGCTTGGGTGTCGAGGGCGCCGGCGGCAAGTACGCAGTCGTCGGCCTCGGCGCTGGTGGAGGAGGAGGTGGCGGCGGCCTGGTGCTGGGAGGTGGCGGTGGCGGAGGAGGTGGTGTCGACGGCCGGTACGACGCGCCTAAGTTCTGGCTGACGGTCTGCTCGGGCGGACTGTAGTTGTAGCCGGGGGTGGGCTTGGGGGATGGAGGTGCCGGCGGCAGGTATCCTGGGGTGGGCTTCGGAGCTGGCGGAGGTGGCGGAGGTGGCGGCCTCGTGCTGGGCGGCGGCGGAGGCGGAGGTGGCGTCGACGGGCGGTAAGACGCACCCAGGTTCTGGTTAAACGTCTCCTGTGGAGGGCTGTAGGTGTATCCCTGAGTCGGCCTTGGGGGCGGGGCCGTGGGCGGGGGTGTCGGCCTACTCGTTGGTGGTGGGGGTGGCGGCGGTGGCCGCGTGGCCGGGGCCTGGGCCGGAAGTTCGATGGGCCTCTCGGGCGGAGGGTAGACGTAGCCCTCGTTCTTTTGGAAAGGCGCGGGTTGGCTCACGATCTGCTGCGGGGCGGGGCTGGTGAAGATCTGGGCGGGTGTTGGTCGGGGCGAGCTAGGCTGCACGCTGAACGGGCGCGCTGGCTGAGGCACGAAAGCGGGCACTGGTGCCGGCTGAGGCTTGTAGGCCGGCTGAGGCTGCGGCTGCTGAGGGCGGAATGCCTGTGAGAGCTGCGCCTGGCCCTGGAATGAAGGAGTCGGTTTGTTGTACTGGTAGCCCTGCTGAGGCTGAGGCTGCGGCTGTGGGACAGGCTTGTAGGTTGGCTGAGGAGCTGGCTGAGGAGCTGGCTGAGGCGCGGGCTGCGGCCTGTACGTCGGCTGAGGAGCTGGCTGGGGAGCGGGCTTGTTGTACGTGTAGCTCTGATCGGGCTGAGGCGCCGGTTGCGGCCGGTAGGTTGGCTGCGGCTGAGGCGCTGGTTGAGGCCTGTAGGTCGGTTGAGGGGCCGGCTGAGGAGCGGGCTGAGGAGCGGGCTGAGGAGCGGGCTTGTTGTACGTATAGCCCTGATCGGGCTGAGGTGCAGGTTGCGGCCTGTAGGTAGGTTGAGGCCGAGGCGCCGGCTGGGGCCTGTATGTTGGTTGGGGCGCTGGTTGCGGCCTGTAGGTTGGCTGAGGAGCCGGCTGTGGGGCGGGCTTATTGTACGAATATCCCTGATCTGGCTGAGGCGCTGGTTGCGGCCTGTAGGTGGGTTGAGGCTGAGGCGCCGGTTGCGGCCTGTACGTCGGCTGTGGAGCTGGTTGAGGCGCCGGCTGCGGTCTGTACGTCGGTTGGGGAGCTGGTTGAGGTGCCGGCTGAGGCCTGTACGTCGGCTGTGGCGTCAGCAACTGCGGGTTAGGCTTGTTGTACGCATACCCCTGTTGTGGCTGAGGCTGTTGCTGAGGTTGAGGCTGGGGGGCTGGCTGAGGCCGGTAAGCCGGTTGAGGTTGCGGCCGGTAAGCCGGCTGTGGGGCCGGCTGCGGCGCGGGCTGCGGCGCAGGCTTGTTGTAGTTGTACCCCGGCTGAGGCTGGGGTGCAGGGGGTGGTGGCTGCGGCCTGTAAGTCGGCTGGGGTGGCGGCGGGG